GTATTTACTGTCAATGGTGCTGACCTGGCCCTGGCCCAGCTGCACAGTGGGATTCACATCTGGACTGGCCCAGAATAGGCAGTGAGAGACCTCAGTTCCACAACTGTCTGGAAGCCCAATCTGCTGTGTCTCTGGGAGAGAACTTCACCCTCTCTGGGCCCGAGTCCCCACTGTAAAGTTGGGTGAGATGGGTGTACTAGGAAGAGTCTGATTGTGAGCTGAGACCTGAAGCAACCGGCATCCAAACGGATGCTCTGTTGGGCAAGGCGTCCAGGTTGGCGCAGACTGGAGTTGAGCCCAGGGCTAGAGAGGGGAAAGCAAGCCTGGGCAGATGCCCCACAGCGTGGCCCTGAGACCAGAGGGTTGGGCAGAGAAGGAGTAAGAAGAGTTGTGGTGAAGGTGGCAGGGAGCAGGATAACCATCACCACCACCCGTAGGCCCTGGTCTAAGCATTTTCTGTGGGGTCTGTTTCACCCTCCCCACGGCTTGGGCAGTCACGGAGGGGGACACAACGGTTCAGAGAAGTGAAGTGACTTGCAAGTTAAGCCACGGGCCTCAACCTCAGGACTCTGACCTCAGAGCCCATAGACTATTCTGTAGGCAGTAAGTAACCTCCTTGCACTTCGCCCCCAGCCTGCCACCCCTCGGCCCGCTTGGCTCCTGTAAAAGTGGACCCTCTCTGTGCCTGCCACCTGGTAGAATGCAGTCAATGCCAGTGCATTATCTACTTAACAGTGACAGCAGCTGAGAGTAAAGGAGGCTTCCTAGGTGCCAGGCCCTGTGAAAATGGCAGGTGTGAGAGTCCTCAACAGCCTCAGAGTGGGGGGACCATGCCCCATTTCACGAATGTGAAAACTGAGGGTTAGAGAGATCAGGTCACCTGTTCAGGGCTGCACAACTGAAGTGGTAGGGTTGGAATTTAAACTCATGGTCCAGCCCTGTCTGGTTTGGCTCAGTGGATAGAGTGTAGGCCTGTGGACTGAAGGGTGCCGGGTTCAATTCTGGTCAGGGGCACATGCCCGGGTTGCAGGCTTGATCCCCAGTAGGGGGTGTGCAAGAGGCAGCCGATCAATGATTCATCATTGATGTTTCTGTCTCTCCCTCTCCCTTCCTCTCTGAAATCAATAAAAATATATATATTCATTAAAAAAAATAAACTCATATGTCCAAACCCTGTGTCCTCAACCCTTGCACCAACCTGCCACTTTCGATGAAGGGTTTCTGCTACATTTTCTTTAGCTCATGGTTAGTATAATTCCATTCTGCTCCAATGAATTGGCTGCTTTGAATCTTAGTCTGTGCCAGGCTCTGTGCTAAACACTTTGCATATGTTAATATTTTTTCCTCACACTGGCCCATAAAATAGGCCCCATTACTATTTCCATCTCATAGATAGGGAGACTGAGGCACGGACATCTGGAAGTGTTTCCTTGCTGCCCTCATCTGTGCCCTCCACCCAGGCCCCACAAGTGCCCCTTGGAGGACGGATGGGCACTCACCTCAGCACTCCGGCTCCTGACCTCCATGGCGCTGCTGGAAGTCACCTGGGCCCCGGGCTCCTGCTTCCTCTCTCCCTTCTCCTGCAGGACCAGCTTCAGTTCTGCATGGAGCAGCTGCCTCTGAGCCTGCGGGGGACAGAGATGGAGGTTGGAGGCTGGGGAGGATGAGGAGAAGAGGCTGGGCTTAGAGGGTGAGGTCAAGGTGGTATCAAGGGGAGGAGGGCGCCCCCAGCTGTCCTCTCACCGCCGCCTGGGCACAGGCACCCCCTCCTAACAGGAGCCTCGCCTGGCGTGCTGCACAGTCGTCTGCGGGACTCGCACCCTTCCTCTGAGGTCTTGCTGCCTGCCAAGGAGAGACAAAGGCATGAAACTGCAGGCAGGCCATGGAGGGGCGGGGAGGGGCATGTGCATCAGCCAGTGCTCACCTCAGCGTCACCTCCTTGGGCCTCCCGGGTCCGGGGCTCTAAGAAGAAAAACATGAGCATTCCTGTCAGCTAACCCCTCGGACTGCTTCCTGAGTGCCTGGCCCTTCCTTCGCTGTCAGTACTTTATCTCCATAGCTCAGGTGGAGAACCTGCGCCTCAGAAGCCCTTTACCCAGGAGGGCACAGTTGGCCGGCAAACAGTAAAGCCAGAACTAACTCCTAGGCCTCCCTGACAGCAGAGCCCCTGAGGCCAAAACCTCAACGGGCCAAGGGGGCCAAATGCACTATAAAGTCATTATAACCATCCCAGGTACTCCCCGTGGGTCCGTCACCTCACCCTCTGTGCCTCAGTTTTCTCATCTATAAAATGGCATGATTGACAGCACCTCCCTGCAGGGCTGTTGGGAGAGTCAAACGAGCTACTAAATATAAAGTGTCAGGCACATGGAAGCCACTTCATGCGCACTTGCTGTTATTACTGAGAACTTCCTGTGGCACTGATCTTGTGTCAGATGTTCCACAGGGGCTATTGCCTGTGGACCTCAGAACACCCTTAGGAGCTCAGTACCCTTATTGAGCCCATTACGAAGAGGGTACCTGAGCCTGGGAGAAGGGGGGCCCCGTGCCCTCATCACAGACTTGAACTTGTCTGAAAGCTCCAGCCCCTTATTCTGATAATAACTAATGGGTATCGAATGCTCACCCTTTGCCAGTCCTGTGCTAAGACTACTGTCCACCTCACGGAAAGCCCTAGCCCCTCAGCCCAAGAACCTTGCTCTGGTCACACAGCACAGGGAGAAGGAGGCAGAGCTGGATTAGTATGTAGCCTCCCCTGAAGCCCTTTGGGGGAAGGGGAGTGGATATTATGTTCCCCCTGTCTCCCCCCAGCTCTGGTCTTGTCTCCCCAGCCCCCACCTGGCATGCCAACATGCCAACCCCCACTCCCAAGGGAAAGGTCAGGCCTCACGCGGCACATTCCCTCAAACAATGGCCCATCTTCTGTGCCCAGTCACATTCCGCCCCTGCCCACCACCCCCAGCTGCACAATGGCCCTTCATAGCCCACCAGTGGCCAGGAGGGAGGACACAGGGACCCCCTCAATGTTCCAGCTATGCCCACTCCATTGGCTGCCCCCTCACCCCACCAAGTCAGAGGGCTCCTCTCTGGCTCTGTTAGGGGTCTGGGTCTCTGTGTCCTTTCCTGGACTCTCCTCTGAGCCCCAAGCCCCTCCAAGCAGGGCTGGCTTCCATCTGGGGATTTCCTCCAAACTGGGCGCTGTGTTGACACCCATAGACCTTGTAATCACCCTGGATGTGGTGGCTGTTTTAGGACTGGAAACAGGCTCAGAGAGGGTAAGTGACCGGTCTGAGGTCACACAGCTAGCATGTGTGCCCTTGACCCCAACCCTGCACCTTAACTAGCATTGGTGGCCCTGAGCACTGGAGGAGGCCCAAGGAGCAAAACAGCTGGGGCAGGAACAGGGCTGGGAAGGGCAGGGGCAGGAAGTGGGGGTTGTGAAGGTGTCAGAAACAGGCACTTTTAGAGGGACCTCTGTGGTGCCAACCGAGCTGGACAGGCACTTTATAGACAAGGCCTCATGCTACCCCATTTTACTGATGAGTAAATGAGGGCCGAGAGGACATCACTGTGACAGAGTCGGGACTTGAACCCAGGTCTCAGAAGCTAACTCTGAGTCCCTGACGCAGTGTAGCATCCTGAGTCGGGGGTGGGAGAAGCCTGGTCCTTGTAGGAAGTAGTGGAGACGGAGGAAAGGATCTTCTGGACCACAAGCCCCCTGCTTCAGGCAGGGCATCGAGATCACACCCAGAGGCTGGCACAGGAAGCTCAGCAGGGGTGGGGACACGAGAGTACCCTACTCCCTCATCCCTGCCCAGGACAGCGGCCAGCCCAGGTTATATTTAGCCCCAACTGTGCCCTTCCTGAGCCACGTACCCAGCCCCCGGAAGGAAGCCCACCCCACCCAGGGCACGCTGTTCCCAGCTCTGCCCATCCTACTAGGCAAGGGAAGAAGGGGTGGGGAGGTTCCTTGGGGCATCCCTGGCTTGTGTTCGAGGAAGACCTAATGGGGCTCCCACGGTGAATCAAGGCAAGGCAGGACCCTCCTGATGCCAGCAGCCACTTCTTGAGCAGGTCCTCTGGTGCGATCCTGGTACATTCCTAAGCTTCCAGAACTCTGAGTCCCCATTTCTAGAGCACGTACCATGTGCAAAGATCCGTCCCTAGATCATTAAATGCTCACAACACCTCCCTGGAAAAGGTACAGCTAGATGGTCATTTAAAATGCCACTCATGCCCTTCAGAGTGGCTGGGGTGAGAGGCCCTGGGCCCTTTAGCTGAGCTGGGCCTGCTGAGGACTCCTCCAGCTTTGCCCTGTGCACCCTCTTATCCCTATGGCTGGCGACAACCTCATTCTCCCTACTCGGAGCCTCAGCTTCCCTAGCCACCAGCCATCTGGTGCCCTCGGTAAGGGATGGGGATATTGACCTGACCCATCCGGGACCCTAGACTTAACCTGAGGCCATCTAGTGAGGTGAGGGGAGGCATGGCCTGCGGCTGCCTCGGTCAATCCCTGCTCCCGCACTTCTCAGGTTGGAACACTGGGCACAGTATTTCACCTCTCAGGGCCTCGTTTTCTCAGCTGTCAAATGCAGCCAGTAAGAATGGTTTTGAAAATTGGTAAGATAGCCCTGACCAGTTTTGCTCAGTGGCTAGTGCGCCGGCCTGTGGACTGAAGAGTCCCAGGTTCGATTCCAGTCAAGGGCATGTACCTTGGTTGCCGGCACATCCCCAGTAGGGGGGTGTGCAGGAGGCAGCTGATCGATGTTTCTCTCTCATGGATGTTTCTAACTCTCTATCCCTCTCCCTTCCTCTCTGTAAAAAATCAATAATATATATATATTTGCAGGTGCTTAGAATATAGTAGGTGCTCAGTCATGTAAACGCGTCTCTGACAGCAAGTGAGAGTCCGGGCTGTGCTTCTCAAAGTGTCTCATATCCAGCCTTCCCGGGGGCTCCG